CCTTAGGTATTATCTTCTCTGGTGTTTCTTTAAGTGTACAGACCCACCTGGTTGACACACATCTTTGCCCATCATCGACAACTTCTTTGTAAACTCCATTTTCCTTCCAACTATCAAGTTCAGTTAGCTTGGGTTTAGTCCATGCAACATCTTCTGTAATCATGACGTTTTCCTCCATGATTTCACAGGGGATTATCCGCAATTCTTCTACCTTGGACAAATCAACTGACTGACTTATACCTTGCATTTCAGAATTCATGAATTCTAAGTTGTACCAGCTCCTGTTTTTGCCTGTTGCTTTTCCTGCTCTGCTAAGAACTTTTGCACAGACTTGATCTCCAGTGTCATGATGTGCATATGAAATTGTCTGCCCAGACTTTATTTGTGATAATCGTTCCTGTAGATTGTTCAATTCAGAAACTTCTCCTATCTGTGGTTCTTGTGTTTGTATCTCTAGGTCACTGTCTTCCTCGACACTATCATGTCTTTGCACAGTTTCCTCTTGTTCTACTTGCCTCTCATTATGTTCATTGTTATTTTCAGGAATTTCCTTTTCTACACAACGCCTCATTCTACTTCTATGAACCCTCACCACAATTCCTCCATTTCTCACGAAAACCACAGTACCGTCTTGTCCTATCACAGTTCCTGGACCCTTCCATTTAGGATCATCTGACCTCTTGAAGTAGACCTTGTCACCGGTCTCAAAATTTCCAGCAACTGGACGAATCTGCTTTCTGAGGGCTCTTCTCAATCTTTCAGAACTTTCAGCTTCTATGAAAGCCTGTCTTGATGCAAACATTGTATTAATATGTTTTCCCACAGTTGCACTTGTTGTGGTGCCCTGGAGCGATGGTGCCTTGTCAGTCAGAACTGATGGTAAATTTGGGTTTCGTCCAAAAACCAACTGGTATGCGCTGTATCCAGAAATGTTACTGAGGCTGTTCTTGGCAATTAATGCCCAACTAAGTGCCGTTTCCCAGTCACAGTTCTTCTCAGATTTCACCTTTCTCATGATATTTGTCAAAGTCTGATTGTGGCGTTCAAGCAATCCATTGCTCCATGGACTCTCTGCTGCTGTGGTCTTTACTTCAATGTTAAAATTCTCACACATGTCTCTCACTTCAGCATTGTTGAATTCTCCTCCATTGTCACTTAAGAGTTTTTGTGGTGCTCCATGAATACTTATCCAATGCTGAATAAAGTTCTGAACAAACACTGATGATTGCTTACTTCTAATAATAGCTCCAGCACTAAATCTTGTAAATTCATCAATAATGTGCAAATACCACATGCCCTTTCCAAGTTCGTGTAAGTCAACAGCCACTGTCTCATTAAAATCTGTAGCCTTAGGAAATCCAAATGCTGGCTTAGTTGGTTGTTTCCTATACCTTTCACATGTTTCACATTTCTCAACTATTTCTGTTAGTGTCTTCAAGATGTCGGGATCTTTATTCCCTGCATTTTGAATAAGCCTCTGTAATCTTTCCGCTGTGGCGTGTCCAAACTGCTTGTGAAGCTTCTCCAGCGCTTTCTTTTGATCCTTTTCACCAATATTTTCTTTTATGAAGAGTGCTTCTGAATCTAACTGTTCAACTGTACACTGCTCCAGGCCACGATCTGAAGTTTGTTCAGCAGGAAAATCTCTTTGTCCAACTAGATCAATGCAATAATGTCCAGTTGATGTCAGTTCTAAGTTCACTGGTTTCTGAAACATGATAGCTGTGTCATTTGGTAAATCAAGAATTAATCCAGCTTTCTTCAGTGATGGTTTTCCAAGCAAAAGAGGAATGTCCGATTCTACAACTTCTGTGTTTATAGTGCACCGAGTGTCACCAATTACTGCTGGTATCATAACATTGGATGATGAGAAAACTTTCACTCCATCTCCAAATCTAAAGCTCTTATTGCTAGGATTTGAAATAATTTCATCCCTTTCCTGACTACTGAGTGTCTCTATGTATTGGTCCAACCATTGCTGTCCACACACTGTACTTGTACAGGCAGTGTCTAATACTGCACATCCCAATGCTTCTGTTAGTAGAATTTTGTTCTCCGTACTTTGCTCCTTTGTAAACAGTGTCAAGTTACATTGCTCTGTCTGTTCTTCTGTTTCTATCATTTTCACTTCCTCATTATTTCTTGGTTTCTCTTGGTGTGGGCAATCTTTAGCCCAATGGAAAGTTGACTGACAAATTACACATCGGCTGCGCTTTCCAAACCTGTTAATTGGATTCGTTCCCCTTTCAGGTGTATCATTTCTATTACCACTGTAAGCTGAACTGTATCTGTCACGTGGCTCATTCCTGTACCTTGGACCCGAGTATCTCTGTCCTTGTTGACGTCCTCTATAACCACTCTGGCTATTTCTTGTGTAATATGCTGATTCCTGTTTCACACATATGGCACTGTCAGAATCCTGACTTTTAACATTACCAAATATTCTCTTCAATGCTGATTTCATAGATTCAAAGTTTCTATCGTTAGCTGCCGTCAAAACTAACTGTCTTTCTTTCTGAGTCAATCCTGATGAATCAAGCAACTTGAATGAGAGTACTGAATCTGGCAAAACCATCTGATATTTCTTACACTGGGTATATCGCCGTTCATATTCAATGATAAATTCTGACATTGTCATTTCTTCAGCCTTTGTGAAACTATCAAAATCCCTGTATGCCGTGTATGCTAAGTCAACAGTGTCCCTCTTATAAAGTTCATCAAGTGCTTGGACAAGAATTTTCAAACCCCGTTTGGAATTCAAATCTTTCACATCAATTGCCATTGCTTTTGCCCTAGCTTGTCCCGTAAGTGATCCCAGTGAGACTGCGAGTGCCTGTTTTTCCTCTACAACCTCGGTCATGTGACACCATATTTCAAGTTCGTTTTTCCACGTCTCATATTCCATCTCATTTGTCAAAGTCGGGGGATTCTTGTAACCATGTGCCATATTGCTAGTCCCGTTTTCCCTCAACCACGCTCTGCTACCAATGTTAATTACCTTTATGGCCCTTTCCACTGTTGGCCCTGGTTAGCCCTTCTCTCATTCTACACACCACTGACAGTTCATATCAAATCCCCGCCATGCGTAAACACGCTGCTTCCTCTCACGCATGCGCACACGTAGTCAAGTTCAGAGGTCACTTCCAGTACACTCGAATGTAAACATACCACACAATGTGGTTAGGACTGACATGTTATCAGTGACTAGGTCCAAGTCGGCAAAGACTGGGAGTATGATCCAAACTGCCGTTCATTATGAACAATTGTGTCCAGATGAAATGAAAAATCTTCAGTTGGCTGATGATGATATTGCACTCATCTACGAGGCCAGAGCTAATAATGTCAAACCACAGTGGAAAGAGGTGTCCGCCACCTCGAGTGCTTGTAAGGCTCTGTGGGGACAATATGATCGGTTGTCTATTAGACAAGGGGTACTCCATAGGAGGTGGGAGAACAAAGATGGCAGACGATGGCACTGGCAGATTGTCATGCCAACTTGTAAACGTCGCCTGATCCTCACCCATAATCATGATTCTCCTTTAGGAGGTCACCTGGGGGTGCAGAAAACTCTCCAAAAAATCCAACAGTCTTATTATTGGATTGACATGAAAAGAGACATTAGACAACATTGTACCAAATGTGACAAGTGTGCTGCTCGTAAAAGACCCTCGAAGCAGAGAGCACCTATGAAGCAGTATGTAACTGGCTCAGCTATGGAGCGACTTACTACTGACATTATGGGGCCGCTCGATCGTACACAGTCTGGTAACAAGTTCATTTTGGTGGTTACAGATGTCTTTACAAAGTGGACTGAGGCCTACGCCATGCCAAACATTGAGGCTAAAACAGTAGCCAAGAAGATAGTGGAAGAGTGGGTTTGTCGCTTTGGTACACCTGCACTAATACACAGTGACCAGTGCAGACAATATGAGGCTACTCTCTTCCAAGAATTCTGTAAGTTGCTTGGCATTGTGAAAACAAGGACAACAGCTCTTCGACCGCAAGCCAATGGCCAGGTTGAGCGTTTTAACCGTACCTTGGGTGCCATGCTCTGCATATATGCAGATGGGAAACCAAAATCATGGGACAAGCACCTTCCCTATGTCATGGCAGCTTACAGATCTTCTAGACATGAGTCTACTGGTTTTACGCCAAATGAACTTACATTGGGTAGGGAAGTCCGGTTACCAATCCAACTTATTACCGGAAACCCAAATGAAAATGCTCAGAAGCATGACGAGTATGTTGAGAAACTCAGGGAGAGGTTTGAATATGCCTTTGAGTCTGCCCGCCGTAGCCTTAAGCATTCTTCCGAAATCCGGAAGAAAAGGTACGATGTGGGAACTAAAGAGTTTCGACTAAAGGTTGGACAACCAGTGTGGTTATATAATCCTGGGAAGGAGCTCCCATCCAGCAGGAAGTTCATTACTTGCTGGAAGAAGGGATGGGTGGTCATCAAACAGATTGATGATGTGACTTACCGTATACAGGATGGTTCAAATAACTCACCTCGGGTTGTCCATGTTGACAGACTTCTGCCCTATGAGGGAGATGATCCTCCAACATGGTGGACTTCTCAGTAATTCTCACATACTGTTAGTGTACTGTTATTCCAAATAAATCTGAAAACAATTATATTTCACTTGTTTTCCTACATATTGTCAGAGCCCTTTATACTTTAGTTTCATGAAGATATTAATATTACGGTTGCATTGTGGATGCAACAGATCAAAATGTGATCTAGGGAATGTACTGGCACGAAAGTTGAATGTTAAACAACATATCTTTTAAGTGGTAAAGATTTAAAATTTGGGCTTGATGTAAGCTTTCTAAACTATTTACTGGATATGGTTGGTTGGTATGGGATTCACTCTAGTTCTCACTGAGGAAGCTGATGATGGATCATGATTCCTAGGATGTATCTAGAATATAGAAAAGTGATAAGCACTGTTGAAGTTACAACATATCTCATGCAGGCGTTACTTACTCCTTATTTGCAGTCAGAAGGATGGCTGACATTCTCACCCTGGATGTTGATGAAGAGGAGATCAAGCAATGGGGATCGGTGCATCCAGAGGTGATGGAGGGGGCGCCAGGAATGAAATTTATTAAATTCATACCAAATATGGACTGCCCTGCCTGCCTTGACACTAAGACATTTGCATCGCGACGTGACTTTGAAGAACATTGGGCGCGAACGCATCACAGGGTGCATAAATCGTTTGCTTGCCCTGTAAAGAAGTGTCTTGATTGTCGTTCTTCACTAAAAAGTTTAAAATACCATATTGCGCACAAGCATTTAAATTCAAATGTTATTACCGCTCAGGTTGATAAGCTTTGCGCAGATGTGACTGTTGAAGTGGAACGAAATGAAAATTTCGTTGACCCTGGGGTTTACTGTTTGTCCTGGCAGACATGGCGACCCCGGGGCAAGAGGGCGGGTAAGAAGGGGAAATCAGCAAAAGCATCTTCCTCTTGCTCTGCCCTGTCTGTCCAAACGTCACAGACTGTCACGGAACCTAAGAAAGAATATGATTCAGTTCCTCTCAAATGTTCACTCCCAAATGTGCCATCTGTGTCAGATCTGCAGATGGAAATCGCAGCTCTAAGAGAGCGCAATACTGTGATGCAGCAGGCTCTTGCCGCTCACCATGGGGCACACTGGCCTACCTGCCTGGATATTCCCACAAACAGGCCCCAGCTTGATGAATTTATCGCCAAGGGCTGGGAGGCAATGGCCGTGCTACAGTCTGCCGAGGGTAGGCGATTTCAGCAGCAGCTTGACCAGCGTCGCGCTGCTGACGCCTTCATCCGAGGTATGGCACATGGCAGTGGCAGTCAGCCGGCATAATAATGTGTCTTGGAGAGGAAGTTTCCTTCTAATTTTTCTTGTAATTTCTTTTTATGAAGGCTCTTATCTTTTCTTTCATTGATCATCTTATGTTTTCTCTCTTGATTTCTTTGAGATGTATTCTTGTGTTCATTGATTCATGTGGAAAACAGCCAGACCCATATCCTGGAAAAGGACAGAACATTCTATTCAAGAACTGTGTGTGAAGAAACTGAACTGTGTTTTCAAGAACCAAAGATTGTGTTTTTCACAGACTGATAATTGTGCTTCACTGACATATTTCCTGGTGAAGAATTACCTTATTATAATAATAAGAATGTGTTTTCATATCTAAGGATATTAATTCTTGGATTTCCATTTCTTGGGATACATGTAAGTATTATAACGGTGTCCATTGATAATCAACAAGGTAAGAAGTTATAATTGAATGTAAATGATGTAATATAACATGTAATAAGTTGAATTATTGTTATTCTTGCACAACAAACCCTGTTCTTTAACTGCAGTTGTAAGGGCTAACTGCAAGAAGAAAAAAAAACAACCAAACATGAATATTTATAGTGGTATAAATATTAACAGCATGAATTTTTTTGCTACTTGAAATGCAATGTATAATACCATGTTTATGTAAAAATGTTAACTCGGGACAAGTCTTCTTTTAAAAAAGGGGCTATTGTAATAGTCAGGCTCGGTCAAAAACGATCAAGACCTTCGGTTTTCGTCCACGTTCCCGCGATCGTTTGAAGTTTTAATAGTTATTAAATATATGATTATTTATTATTACATACACGTCTTGTGTGTAAAAACTATGTATATTGTACGTATTAGATCAATTAAATGTTTCATAGTAATATTTAACAGTTATAGTTAGCTCCAGTGATCGGCTCAAATAGTCCCGCGATCTACTGGTGCTTACGTCATCAAAAGTTGGGTAGTTTATTCCGGAATTGTTTCATGCTCTAAATCCACTAAAGTAAATATATTTATTCCAAAATACTTACGTAAACACCTTCCTGGACATGTTATTGAGTAGATTACATCCATCCTAGATAATGTCACGTCGTATATTTGGTGTTTGGTCTTCTCGCTCTAACTTTTGGCGTCTTCTGCTACATGTATTTCCGGAAGTGACGTCACCACGAATATAATCTCGTTCCAAATCAGTTGCAGAAATAACAGACTCAACGTAAGTTGTAGTTTTTGGCCCAGCGAGTTTTTAGAAATTTTATAATGATTCCATAGACTTGTTTACAGTTTTTTAATAACAATTACCGTGCAGCATTATTGGCTCTGCCTTTGCGCATAGTAATTATTCTTTTTCGAGTAGGTTAAATAGAATTTGTAGAAATTATTTATCTAGAATCTAACTGTCAAAACTGACAAGCGTTAAAAATAGAGTACGACTTGCAGTTAGTTCATGATCATATTGAAATTGTAACTGTCATTATTAATAAGAACAACAACAAGTAAAGATTTCAATTGACTTTTATTATTTGTTATAGTTTTCTTTTACATCCGTTTTAACAATATCTCTTGGAAACTGACGGTTGGGATGGGACTGAAAACATCCTGACAACCACGTTTTCCCCACCCCCAACCCGTTACAGAAAGAATTACCACAAGGTTTTTATTATATCAGTGATGTCAAACCAACCAAATACGGTTATCAATTGTTTCTTATCAATTTACAAAAAGAGTGTAGTTATATAGTCTGGTCTCCTAGTAAAATTTACGAAGAACTTAATAAAAATGTTGAACATCGCTTTATCGATAAAAATAATAAAGAATATTTTTATTACCATTTAGGCTCATCTAAAGCAATGACTGGCCCCAGGTATTGGTGAGCTAGAGCCAATTTAACTTAAACTCATGACTATCGTTAAATCGCATAATCATTTTGGCATAAAAAATCCCCCCTGTAGTAGCAGTATAGGTAATAAATCTGGCTCCAGTGGAAGTGGTCCAGAACCCCCATTACCTATACTACTCTGACCCATGACCCACTTCTTCCCATCACTGACCAACCACCCCCCATCACTGACCCACCACTCCAGATCACTGACCCACCACTTCCCATCATTGACCCACGATTCCCCATCACTGACCCACCACTGCCCATCACTGACGTTTGGTTGGAAGTATTCTCAGTCCATCACTGACCCACCACTTCCAATCAATGACCCACCGCTCCGCGTCACTCCCCATCACTGACCCACCACGCCCAAGCACTGACCCATCACTCCCAATCACTGACCCACTTCTTCCCATCACTGACCCACCACTCCCTATCACTGACCCACCACTCCCCATCACTGACCCATCACTCCCCATCACTGACCCACCACTCCCAATCACTGACCAACCACTTCCCATCACTGACCCACCACTCCCTGTCACTGACCAACCACTCCCCATCACTGACCCACCGCTCCCTATCACTGGCCCACCACTCCCCATCACTGACCCACCACTCCCAATCACTGACCCACTTCCCAATACTGACCCACCACGCCCAATCACTGACCCATCACTCCCCATCACTGACCCACCACTACTCATCACTGACCCACCGCTTCCCATCAGTGACCCACCTCTCCCCATCACTGACCCATCACTCCCCATCACTGACCCACCACTCCCAATCACTGACCAACCACTTCCCATCACTGACCCACCACTCCCTGTCACTGACCAACCACTCCCCATCACTGACCCACCAATCCCAAGCACCGACCCACCTCTCCCCATCACTGACCCACCACTCCCCATCACTGACCCACCACTCCCCAACGCTGAGCCACCACTCCCCATCACTGACCCACCACTCCCCATCACTGACCCACCACTCCCAATCACTGACCAACCACTCCCCATCACTGACCCAGCACTCCCCATTACTGACCCACCACTCCCTATCACTGGCCCACCACTCTCCATCACTGACCCATCACTCCCCATCACTGACCCACCACTCCCCATCACTGACCCACCACTCCCAATCACTGACCCACCACTCCCCATGACTGACTCACCACTGCCCATCACTGACCTACTGCTCCCTATCACTGGCCCACCACTCTCCATCACTGACCCACCACTCCTCATCACTGACCCACCACTCCCCATCACTGGCCCACCACTCCCCATGACTGGCTCACCACTCTCCATCACTGACCCACCGCTCCCTATCACTGACCCACCGCTCTCCATCACTGTCCCACCACTCCCCATCACTGACCCACCTCTCCCCATCACTGACCCACCACTCCCAATCACTGACCCACCACTTCCAATCATTGACCCACCATTCCCCATCACTGACCCACCACTCCCCATCACTGACCCACCACTCCCCATCACTGACCCATCACTTCCCAATCACTGACCCACCATGCCCATTCACTGACTCATCACTCCTAATCACTGACCAACTTCTTCCAACCACTGACCCACCATCCCCCATCACTGACCCACCACTTCCCATCATTGACCCACGTTTCCCCATCACTGACCCACCACTGCCCATCACTGACATTTGGTTTGAAGTATTCTCAGTCCATCACTGACCCACCACTTCCAATCAATGACCCACCACCCTCATTACTGACCCACAACTCCCCATCACTGACCCATCACTGACCCACCACGCCCAATCACTGACCCATCACTTCCAATCACTGACCCACTTCTTCCCATCACTGACCCACCACTCCCCAACACTGACCCACCACTCCCCATGACTGACCCACCACGCCCAATCACTGACCCATCACTCCCAATCACTGACCCACCACGCCCAATCACTCCCCATAACTTCCCATCACTGACCCACCACTCCCCATCACTGACCCACCACTCCCCATCACTGACCCATCACTCCCCATCACTGACCCACCACTCCCCATCACTGACCCACCACTCCCCATCACTGACCACCCACTCCTCATCACTGACCCACCACTCCCCATCACTGACCCACCACTCCCCATCACTGACCCATCACTTCCCATCACTGAACCACCACGCCCAATCACTGACCCATCACTCCCCATCACTGACCAACTTTTTCCCATCACTGACCCACCACTCCCAATCACTGACCCACCACTCCCCATCACTGACCCATCACTCCCCATCACTGACCCACCACTCCCCATCACTGACCCACCACTCCCCATCACTGACCACCCACTCCTCATCACTGACCCACCACTCCCCATCACTGACCCACCACTCCCCATCACTGACCCACCACTCCCCATCACTGACCACCCACTCCTCATCACTGACCCACCACTCCCCATCACTGACCCACCACTCCCCATCACTGACCCATCACTTCCCATCACTGAACCACCACGCCCAATCACTGACCCATCACTCCCCATCACTGACCAACTTTTTCCCATCACTGACCCACCACTCCCAATCACTGACCCACCACTCCCCATCACTGACCCACCGCTCCCCATCACTGACCCACCGCTCCCTATCACTGGCCCACCACTCCCTATCACTGACCCACCACTCCCTATCACTGACCCACCACTCCCCATCACTGACCCATCACTGACCCACTTCTTCCCATCACTGACCCATCACTCCCAATCACTGACCCACCACTTCCCATCACTGACCCATCACTGGCCCATCACTCCCTATCACTGACCCACCACTCCCCATCACTGACCCACCATGCCCAATCACTGACCCACCACTTCCCATCACTAACCCACCATGCCCAATCACTGACCCACCACTCCCTATCACTGGCCCACCACTCCCTATCACTGACCCACCACTCCCTATCACTGACCCACCACTCCCCATCACTGACCCATCACTGACCCACTTCTTCCCATCACTGACCCATCACTCCCAATCACTGACCCACCACTTCCCATCACTGACCCATCACTGGCCCATCACTCCCTATCACTGACCCACCACTCCCCATCACTGACCCATCACTGACCCACTTCTTCCCATCACTGACCCATCACTCCCAATCACTGACCCACTTCTTCCCATCACTGACCCATCACTCCCAATCACTGACCCACTTCTTCCCATCACTGACCCATCACTCCCAATCACTGACCCACTTCTTCCCATCACTGACCCACCACTCCCAATCACTGACCCACCACTTCCCATCACTGACCCACCACTCCCAATCACTGGCCCACCACTCCCCATCACTCCCCATCACTGACCCAGCACTCCCCATCACTGACCCACCACTCCCCATCACTGGCCCATCACTGGCCCACCACTCCCCATCACTCCCTATCACTGGCCCACCACTCCCCATCACTGGCCCACCACTCCCCATCACTGACATTTGGTTGGAAGTATTCTCAGGTGATAGGAATTCACAGTTGTACAAATGGACTGATTGTGTAAATATCCCGGTGAGCGATACAGGCCCCATGGACCTCTTGTTTTGTTACTGGAATGCAATTTCTCTTCACTGTTGCTGGCACCAGTCAAAGCTCCCCACTGTGATGGGTGACCACAACCATGCT